GCATGAAGTCTAGTCTAGACTTTACCTTTTCATCTCCAACTCTGCTTCCTTCTTCAGGCTGTGGATGGCAGCTTCATGCTCCTCCTTCTGAATGACAAGCTGCTTCTTCAGAGACTCCATGTCAGACAGTTGCTGCATCCGCTGCATCAGCTGCTCCTTCTGCCCCTGCAGCTCCTTAAACTTTGCCACTGAGGGGAGGAGAGGAAATTAAACCTCCTAGGAGAGGATGTTTCCCACACTAGGCTTCACACAAAGTGCTGAGAGAACACATTTAAAGCTTGCTTTTAAAAGACACCAAAGTTGTGGTACATCTTATATCATTAAATAGTTTGTTCCAGAGAGTGGGCCCAAAATAACTGAATGCACCTGCAAAGTTTCGTAGCTGCAATCCCAGATCTCACATATTGAATCAGTTTTAAGTTGGAAGATAAAACAACTAAATACTGTAACAAACACTGTGACTGCCTCACCTTGCATCTCGCTCTCTGAGTTAAGTTTGTTGAACTGGTCCTGTAGCTGCTGTATCTGCTGGCTGTGCTGCAGATTCAGGGCTTTTCGGTGCTGTTCGACAGCCTGCAGCTGACTCTCCAGCCGCTCAGTCAACTCGTCCACCTTTTTCTCTTTTGCAACCAGGGAGCGCTTTAGGTGCTCAGTGGTGTCTTTGTTGTCCTTCTCAAGCACTCTGTACTGAGAGAGGAGGTCCTTGTTCTGTTTCTGCAGCTCATCACATTTAAGCTGACATCTGCAGGATAAAGAGGGACATGACAAATATTAAATGCAAGAATACTACTACTACTACTTTGATTTTTGTTGTAAATACAGTAACATATTTAAAATAAAATGATATCAGAGTTGTAATGTTTTTATCATGTTGAATTTGTGATTGAGCTTGACCTCAGTTACAGTACGTCAATAGTGAGCTGAAATATTGTGATAATTCTAGGAACCAGAATTATCACAATATTTAGAAAATAATTTAGAAAATTTCATGAAATGTTTAATTTTGTAAAATAAAACTTAAATGAGGTATGAGAAAAAGTAAAGGCTTTCCACTACATATCATTTTTATTGAATGAGGGGAAACACAATGTGCAACATAGTGAAACTGATAACTAAAGTCAATTAAATGAACATTTACTTTAACACTTATTCAGTATTTCTCCACAATCTAACACTAAATCTAACGCAAACACACTTCTTACTCCATAAAAGTGAAAGTCGAAGTTGCTTAACAAGCTAAATACTTAAATTATAACTTCTTCTTATCATGTGGTAGCAGTGGCAAGGATGCCTACTTAATACAGCCTAACTATGCTTAAGAAGGCCAAACTGATGCCCATGCTAACATGGCTAACATCCATCAATATTAAAGGGTTAATTAAAGTAGGACTTTTAAACAGTTTAAAAGAGAACAATAGGGAATATATATACATTCTGTTTATAAACAAACAATTAACGTTACAGCTTTAACGTTAATTCAAAAGAGAATAAGGTCTAACGTTACAGTGCGACCGTAACGTTACAGAATGTGTTAGCAAAGGCTTAACTTAACATTACCTTTCCAACTGCTCATCCAGATATTGAATCTGTATTAAATATAAAGACAGCTCTTTGTTGTCCGAACCGATTACGTCCGCCATATTTCTGTATTTGTCTTATAGTGTTTGGCTTTATGTTGTTTATCTCTGCTTTTTCAATCCTTCTTTTCAGGGTATTTGTCAAAGACGATTTCTCAGTAAAATCGACTTCATAAGCTGAACTACGTTGTTGCTAGGGAATGCTGCCTTCAAGGACTGCTCGGAACGGTCCTTACTTTCTAAACAAACTGACAATTCAGAAATAAATATGTATAATACAGTCAGGGTGCGATTTGTAAAAAAAAAACAGCGGGGGGGGGGGGGGGGGGGTCATGAAAATACTGTTAGGTCTGTCTTGCCTCTTCTCCAACTGCTTATGCTGATATCGAATGTGTATAAAATAGCCTATTAATGACTTATCTAGTTTATCCGACATAGTCGTATTTGTCTTTTTCCTGTCTAACTTGCTTTGTGTTGTTTATATCCACTTTTTAAATCCTTCTTGTAGTTATTTTCAAAGAAAGTTAACTAAAACATCCAGCTGAGAAAGCAACGTTAAGCAGGTTGTTGTCAGGGAATGCTGCTTTCAGGGACTGCCCATAAGGTTCTACCCTTATCCAAAAATTAACCTATTAATTAAACTATTACTACTAGTACTATTACTACTGTCACTTATATGTGTATGTGATTTTTTTTATGATTTTACTTGATTGCTCATTAATTTATGGAACACTTCACACTGATATTTGCATTATTACAACAAACATTACGATTATTTTACATTTCTCTGTTGGCCTACTGTGTGTTCTCCTTGCGCAATTGTCGGGATCTGATGGCACCACTTTCACCCTGACAAATCAATGAAAAAAAGGTGGAAACACTGCAAAATGTGCTTTATCTTTAAATATTAGTGGTAGTTAGGTAAAAGACCTGACCTCAGAATCATAGACTGTATATTATCCAAACATTACTGCGTGGATAACAAAACAGTATATCACTATGACGACAATTACAGACACATATACAGAAAGAGTCCTCTTGCTGGTTCTGGGAATGCTCACCAATGAAATGTCCTGCTGCAGATCTCCACCTTTGTCCTCCTGGTCCTCAGACTGGGCCGGTGTTCTGCTGGCCAGACTTACCTTTCTTTTTCCGTGTCGTCCTGTTCGTGTGGCGCAGCAGCAGCTCCGTTAGCTTCTGGCCTGTCGCCTGACTGAGCAACCTCTACTGCATCAGTGTTTTCAGCTTCTTTTCAGACCACTCAAGAGAGCAACTCAACCATCCAGAACGGCACACTGGTGGTGACCTTACAGACCTCCTCCGTGATCTTCACCCCATTCTTCTACCTCCATTTTGTCTGGGTCGACTTCAGCGTTTACATCATCTTCATGTGCTACTTCGCCCTTGACCATCTTGTGTCAGACATCACTGAGGCTTGTTGTCTACCTCTGCAAACAAACCTTGTCCATGCAGAAGAAGCAGTGAGGCTCTCACCCTGCAGAGTTGTAGCTTCTCATCTGCAGGCTATTGATGGCTCTGGCTTTACCTCACCACACTGCTCACCATCTCCATCTACTATTTCCATGCAATCTTTGCTTCTGGTGTGTGCAACATATTCTTCCTTGGCTTGTTGTTTTATTGCGTGGTCCAACAAAAACCTAAGACAGAAGCTCAGAGTGCTGTTATGCAGGGGAAAGAACAAAAACACACTGGACAGAATAACTGAAGATAAGCAAGTAACAGCCACTGTTTGACCTAAGTTTGACTGAACATATATGCAGCATCTCAGGTAATTATTCTCAAACTGAATTATGTATAAATCTTGTTCTCAAATTATGTAAAAAAGGATTATATTTATGTCACACTGAATAAAGTGGACCAAGTTGCGAAGCAGTCCATTGAGTCTTACTTTACTCACGTCCCAAAAGTAATCTTAAATCAGTAACTATCAAGTTCATAGTTAAGGCTAAGGGTAACTAGCTGGTTTGTGGACTGCAACATTTTTTATCTTATAAAGCACCAAGTCGGATACATCAGAACTAGCTTTCTGTTAAAATAGACCTTTTCCTGTCCGGTGTAAATATGAACATGGCTTTTATTTAATTTACGTAGGTGTTTCAGTAGTTCCAGACTTCCTATGTCTCAACCTTTTTTCAATGATCTTCCTGTGTCAACAGAAACATTACTATGAAATGGCCGTAAGCATGGATGAGATGTATGAAGCTGTAGGCCTACATGTTGTTGTAAGTCAACAACATGTCAAGTCAATTTTCTTTAAATAGACATATTTCGTTTTTAAGTTAGGTTAGGTAACTGCCTCCAGCAACCTCTACCACAGCTTCTGTGTTGACAAGCAACACAGTTCCACATTTTTGTAGAAATTAATTATTTAACTTGCAATTCATTGTTGAGATCTTGAACCTTTAACTTTTTGTTGCATTCTTACTCCCCCAGACTGGGGGCGTAACATCAGGACACTTTTAACATAAAAAGTGCTATCTTTAACTGCAACTAACCATCGCAACAGCACTAAGGCAATGGTATAACAGCCAAAGTTCCCTCTCACGTGTCCTGAAATGAGACAGTAATGCATTAGACAGTCAGTGGATCTTTCATACGTTTTTATTCATCTTCACCTTCTTCTAAATCTAGTATTTTCTTACTTATCACATACATAATATGCCAATACTGTTATTAAAAATCTGACATCAGCAGGTCATTGTAAATATAATGCTGGTAACTCAAACCAGTAAAATGTGCGTGTGTGTGTGCATGTCTTCAAAGCAGTGGGGCCATTTTGTTGCAGTTCCTACTGATCACCTACAGAGGTCCATAAATGCCATGGGTTTCTTATCACTTTGAAGTTCACGTAAGTTCATGTTTGAATCTGGAAGTCAAACCTGCTGGTGAAGGTTTGTTTACCGAGGAGACGATTCTGTCTGCCAAAATACATTACTGATCTCATTCCTCTCAGGTAACTAACAACTAAACAGGAGCGTTCAGTCTTTATGCACCATCTGTAACTGAAACTCAGTTCTTTTAAATCAAGGCTGAAATTTTTTTTTTGAGACTTTTGAATAATATCTTTTTTTTTTTATAATACCAATTTTATTTTCTGTTTACATTTTCAATATAAATATCAATGATGTAAATGTCTGCATTTTTCTATCTTCGCTGCTGACAACCCTGATGTGTATAAATATATAGCTATGCTCTTTAGTATACTTTGACAAAAATGTTAATATAATTTAACTACAAGTAACACCTTTGACTCATATTTTGTATATTTAAATCATTTTTCAAAATTAAAAAAGCCTACAAAAGCACACTTCATGCACAAGAGAATGCCTGATAGAATAAAGTTTATGGACTGTTAACCTATTAAAGAAAAAAAGTATGAGATAGAAACCACTGAACTAATAAATTAACAATGTGTTTCCTGCTTGGCTGTTAAAGTTTGGATCTTGCAAAAAAAACCACACATCTCCTCCATTCTCCCTGTGAGTTTCAGAATAGTTTTTAAAGATGCTGTGAGGCATGATCAGGGTCCCACTTTCTGTTCATTGTGAAATATTGATCTGCTCTTACACAACATCCTCAGTCACCAGTGTCTACAAATGACACATGTAGATTTTAGTACATCAGTAAGGTAGAGTATGTTTGGATGTGTGGCAGTTTCTGTTGAGAACAACACAAAAAAACATGCCTGCCATGGGAGAGAGGATCTCCGAGAGCGACTGACTGCAGGGTGAAGGATTGTTAGTGGGATTCAGGAGTTATGCAAAGTGTTTCTCGCCAAATCACTGAGGTGACCCTCTTGTCCACCGGGGTCAACTCCAACGTAGGGGAGTGTGAGTGTCCCCACACCCTACGGGCGCCTTACACCCCACCCAGCCTCTGCAACCCTGGTCTGGTCCCTGACCTTCACTGCCACCCGTGTGGCAGCGCACCCGACCCCCGCAGTACCTCTCATGGGTGATGGGTGCATAGGATTGTGTTGCGCTAGGCTCCAGATAACACAGCCCTCAGGGACAGACTCATGAGGCTGGTGGAAAGGTTCTTCTTTAAAAGATTTGGGTAAAGTGTTTTTTGTTTTTTCAAAGTCGACAAAGCCATGTAAGGTGTACTCAGAGCCCAAGGACTCAAACACACAGGTTCTTGCAGTGTCTCCTGTGCATCTACTGTCCTCTGTGCTCTGCTTAAAATAAGTCCTGTTCTGTCTTGTCCTGGGCGTCCGCACCTGTTGCTCATTGTCAATTTGGTAATGTCAGCAGAGGTGTGTGGCATTTAGTCATGCCAGTCCGTAAAATATGACTTAAAAATCACACACGTGAATTAAAACACACCAACAGTTAATACAAACATAGCATGCCAAATTACACCACTCCACATGCAATATTAAATAAAAACACAGCACACCAATAAAACATTCTAAAAACAAAACACACCACAGGACTAAAATCAGCAGCCATTTTCTGGCCGTGTGACACAGAAACCTCTCCACCACAATAAGGTGATGGTTAAGGAGAGGAACATTGAGCATGAAAAGCCTGGTTATTGATATTCCTGTATGTGATCATAAGAGTCCAGGTTTTGTCTGCCTGCAAGTGTTTCTGGATTTAGTCACTCTGATCTGCACAATCTAACTAAGAGTGTTCAGAAACTTGGGTGAGGTGTTTACATACCACTGTATCCTGGTTTGTGCTCCAGGCAACATATCCAAGTTTCTGCAACCAGGATACAATGTTTACATGCGCAACAGATCACAGGGATAATCCAAAAACCTGATCATAACCAGGATACTATGTGCATGTAACACACTCACTTTAGTGTTGCAAATTCCAGTGAAAATGTAATTAAACTCTGTGCAACTAGCTCACGTATACTGAACTTGAGTCAGTTGCCTGCTTGTCCAGCTGGTAATCCAGCCTTACATGTAACTTCTGTGGCTGTTTCAGAATTGTCACTAATCCATGTAAAAGTCAAAGGCAAGAAGACTCACTGCTTTAGTCTTGGATGAAGACTGCAGCTGCCACCAAAACAGGAAAAATACATAAGATGTTAATAACATACAAATTTGATATGTAGGATAATCAATTGACCAAGTTCTTTGTCAGTGAAAAATGCCAAACAGTCTCTGGTTGCAGCTTTTCTTTTCCTCTTTTTTCTATTATTGTAGTTTGCAAGTACTCTGGGAAATTGTGATACAGTCGTCACAATTTTTTGACAATTCAATTAATTGATTAATCAAAAGTAATAATGGTCAGGTTCATAAGTCACTTACACATGGAAATATTCATCCTGTGTAAATGAAATTTACACAGAAATAGCTTAAGACATGCACTAGATGTCAGTGTTGTCTGAACTACGCTCACAAGAAGGCTATGCATCACAGTCCATAGTGCAGATGAACATACTGAGTAAAAGTTTTGATTATCTGTCGATGATGTAAACATTTGAGACCATGTCTGGTTTGGAAACAAACCCAAATTTCTGGTACAGAATTTTCACTGATTTTCTTGGAGATAAGATCTTCTTGTTCTCAGCAGGACAAAGCAGATCACAACCGAGAAAACAAGGCAGTATCACAGCCTGGTACGGGCCTGTAACTGGTTCCTCGCACCATCAGAACACCTCTTCCCACCCTAGGACACTTCCATCAGCAGGGTGAGGATGATGTCAGTTACTTATTTAAATTAATTGTTATTATTCAAGCTCTCGTTTCGGCTGTGCTGTTTCTTGTTTTTATTTTTCATTTTCTCTTAGTTGTCTTACTATGTCAGCTGTTTATTGCTTTTCTCCTCCCCAAGCCCTCCTCTCTGTTCTATTGCAGGTTTCATTGCTTTCTGCAATTGGTGTTGTACCTTGGGGTTCCCTCTGTATTCCCTGTTGTCCCCATCTTCCATTCCCCTTCTCTTACAGGTGTTGTCTCTGTGCTGTCTGTTTGTGCCCCCCCATCCCCATGTCTGCCCCCCTGTCCGGCCCGGTGACAAATCAATACATAATTAAATAAATAATAAAACAGACAAGGGAGTATATTAATACTCTCTTGTTAGTAGTAGTAAAATCTGTCTGGCACAATATGGTATCCAGCTCATCATACTCTATACCAGGCTGCTGGGCAGGACAGGTGTAAACCAAACAATAAAATAAAATAAAAAATAAACTAAGCAATTTTTCTTTGAGCACAAAATTAAGCTATTTGTCACAAAATATTTTATATTAACACATTGTTTTCTATTATGTAGATACAAACTAAACCATAATAATGCATTTTGAGATAAGCCAATTGCATACAGCTTATCTAAAAGTAGATAGTGATCCACCAAATCAAAAGATTTTTTGCAATCAATAAAAATAGCCCCTGTAAGATTACCAGTATCAGATTCTTGAAACACATCATTAGTAAGTTTTAAAAGAGCAGTAGTTGTTGAACGATTAGGTCTAAAACCGGACTGAAATGGTGAAAGGATATTATTGGTCTCAAGATAGTGTGATAACATTAAATATTATTTTCTCAAATACTTTAGCAATAGAACAAATTGTTGATATAGGTCTGTAATTATTAGGATCAAGACAATTACCACCTTTGTAGAGTGGAGTAGTGCGTGAATATTTCCAGATCGCTGGTAACTCAGAAGTAGACAAGGACATTTTAAACAGGTCAGCTAGTGGAAACATGAGAAGCTAATTTAATATATCTGGATTCGATCGCATCAAGTCCTGCAACGCTGCTCGAACTTAGTTGTTTGATAGCATTTAAAACATTAGTAGCTATTATTTTTGTAAAGGAAAAGGTACTGTGACAAGGTGAAATGTTCTTAAAACTTTCAGTATAAGAAGCATTCAGTATTGAGTCAGAGCAGACAGAAAAAAAAGGTTAGAGAACACTTGGGCAATAGATAGAGTCAGAGATTATTATATTGCCATCTTTTAATTGATTAATGGGACTTTTGTCTGAAGTGTGTATTATGGTTTTTAAACTGTTCATCAATTGTTAAGGATTTTTAATATTATTAGAGAGACATTCTTTATAACAATTAGATTTTGCATTGCAGGTCATTGTCTTTCTTTCAATATTTCTGAGTTGCCTGTGTGATTCCCAGTCATAATTTTTCTTTGACGATATAGCCCAAGCCTTGTCCCTCTGCTTAAATAGACTTATAAGTTCTGTACTTATCCATGGCAGGTGTCTTCCGTTCACCTTTGATATTTCCCAGGGAGCGTGTGTGTCGATGACTTGAGTGAACTCAGAATGTAAAGAATCCCGGGCATCCTTAACATTGGGTATTAATTGGAACCTATCCCAATTAATAGAAATCACATCATTAATAAATAGATCTATATTAATTTTCTTAATTTGTCTAATGTTTATTAATTTTGGTGGAGATTTGGGGAATTCTAATCTTCCATATACAATAAATAGCTGAGTAGTCACTGAGGCAATCAGACAAAACACCCATTTTAGTAAATCTGTCAGGGTGAGTAGTGGATTGGTATCCAATCGAGTAGAGATTGACATGTTGGGGTAATTTGAGTAGGTTCCATTATAAGATTTGAGTTTCATCTTTTGTTCATATTTTATTGCATGATTATTTTGTTAGCACATCAAATCATGTTTACAGCACAGTTTTCTAAACATTTTAATACCTGGAAGCTGGTTAAATGCTTTCTCAGTACTTCATGACAAACCTGCACAGGAATGTGCTAATAAAATAACCACACAACCATGAAATTAAAAACAAATGAAGATCCTTTTTGACACCAATGTCATTCGAATTTGTACACAGAAACGTTTTCAGATGAAAAGCTTCTGAAATTTTGGTTTGAGCTTCTCCAGATCGCCGCTGTTCTGTATCTTCTGCGACATGCTGCTCATCTTCATGATCAGCTCATGAGCTTCATCAAACAACTTTTCACCGACCTCCTTCTTCACTCGCTCTCTCCAGGCGATCAGCTTCGGCCGGCCTTGAAATACATCCAGGCCACTTCCAACAGGCTGCAAAACACACAGCAAAACCTAGATGTTCAAGTTATTTTTTTTAAAGATAATACTGCAATTACATGAAATTAAAATACAATCATATACGAAAAGTCTAAAATGGGTTAGGATCCTTCGTGGGGTCACTGAAGATGGATAATCTTCTGAGACTTATAGACTGATATTCATCAGATATATTTTTCATATAAATGCAACTAAAATTGCACTTAAATATATCACCATAATCCATTTTGAGCTCCAGAAGCAATAGTACTTTAGGATTGTACCTGTCCTTAAATAATGGCCCTATTTTTCATACTTTGAATTTCTAGTTTTTAAAATAACAAAATTCAGGGTGTCTGGTGGCCTAGTGGTAAAGGCGTGTATCATGGGACCACAGTGCCCAGAGTTTGGTTTTGGCTGGGGAGCTTTGCCACATGTCATACAATTAGGAATTGTATGCTTTGCTTATTTCATAATCAATTAATTAAACAGATGTATCCGTATGGGTTAAAAGAAAAGAAGGAGATGAGACCAGACAGAAAGGGATGGGAGAGGTGCCGAATGCAAGCGTGAAAAAGAGGAGATGGGTTGTGTGGGTATTAATGGAAATCCCGGGAGTGATGTGATTTGTGTGGTAATGGATAGGAGAAATGCCTGACGAGAGATTACTTGGCGGAAGTGGAACCAGAATCGAAAGGCCACTGGTCCTGACTCGGAGGTGGTTTTTATCGATTTGGTTGCTTTAAGGAGAAGGCAATGTTGTTTGAGGAATAAGTCTGAATTGTGGGTATGATGCTGAAAGTCAAGGCGAAGGGAAGATGTAGTGAAGTGAAACCAAAGCGGGTGTGAATGTAGCTTCTAAGGTTCGAGACAATTGAGTAATGCTGTTACTGGCGCAGATGGTGCGGATGCAGATAAACCGCATGTCTGCTGAGAGAGGAAGGTGGCGGGGGGTCTTGAGATGGCTCTTGACCTTGAAGACCTCTAAGAAGTAAGGTTATCTGAAAAATGGTAAGAGGCCAGGATCACAGGTTAGAAGTTTGGAAAGGAAGCTAGTAGCGTTAAGATGAACTTGGATGGAGTGCATTTGATAGTCATCATGGACTGGGCGTAGCTGATAAAACGAGACACAGTGAAGAGATTAAATGATTAAGTTGTACTAGTTGTGACTGTGGTTCAAGCTCTTCAAGCTGGCCTGTAACACGAGAGAGGGCTATGCTGTTGATGGTAGAGTTTCAAGGACCATTCTGCAGCGGACCATTATATCCTTATAAACCCCCCAAAAAACCCTGCAGGATGAGTGGCAGCAGTTCGAGCTATTTGCTTGTGTCCCTCGAAATGCCGCTTGAAACACTTGCAAACAAGAGTGAGCAGTGAGTGAGCAGTGGAGGGCTCTGGCATCCTGGTGCCGAAAGCCCCTTTTGTTCAAAACGACCGTTGGCTTAAAATGGCTTTAACGCGAAACGACTGTTGGCTCGAAGGTCTGTTTGCATGAACAACTTTAGTTTGAAGTGACTTCACTTGAAACAAATTAAAGCTCGAAACGACTTTAGCTCGAAACACTTGTTCACTTCAAAAGACTGTTTGCTCGAACCAAAGTTATTGGTTTGAAACAACTTCTCAGATGAAATTGACTGTTAGGGCAATGTTTGCTCAAAAACAACTGTTTGCTCAAAACGACTGTTAACTTGACATGAGTTTGAAGCGATGGTCAGCTCGACGTGAACTTGATTATTT